ACACAGATGTATAGAACAGTGTTTTGGACTCTGGGAGAATGCGAAGGTGGGATGATTTGAGAGAATAGCACTGAAACATGTACCTTATCATGCGTGAAACAGATCGCCAGTCCAGTTTCGATGCATGAGACACGGTGCTCAGGGGTGATGCACTGGGATGACCCAGAGGGATGGGATGGGGAGCGATATGGGAGGAGGGTACAGGATGGGGAACACATGTACACCCATGGCTGATTCATGTCAATGTATGACAAAACCACTAAAATATTGTGAATTAATTGGCCTCCAATTAAAACAAATACATTTTAAAAATTAGCAAACTGCATACTTTATGTATGATCATATGTCTTTTACAGTCCCTTGAACAACTCTGGGGGTAGGGGTGCTGATCCTCTGTGCAGTCAAAAATCTTGTGTATAGCTTTATAGCATGCCATAGTATCCACAGCTTTTCATCCTGGGATTCAACTAACAGTGGCTTGTGTAGTACTATGATATTTATTGAAAAAAAAAAAAAACGTGTGGGTCCATGCAGCTCAAAACTGTTGTTGTAGGGTCAACTGTACTTCAGTAAAATTGTTTTAAAAAGAACTATTTCATTAGAACTGATTCAAATGAATTCTTTTTAATGGCTGAGTAATATTCCATGGTGTATATGTACCACAGCTTCCTTATCCGTTCGTCTGCTGATGGGCATCTAGATTGCTTCCATGTCCTGGCTATTATAAACAGTGCTGCGATGAACATCGGGGTGCACGTGTCTCTTTCAGATCTGGTTTCCTCGGTGTGTATGCCCAGAAGTGGGATTGCTAGGTCATGGCTGAGTCACGTCAATATATGACAAAAACCACTACAATATTGTAAAGTAATTAGCCTCCAACTAATAAAAATAAATGGAAAAAAAAGAAATTAAAAAAAAGAACTATTTTTTTTAACTCAGAAAAAGTCTGTCTAGAAGAACAATAAAAAAAAAAAAAACTAATAAGTCCAAAAATAAATGAATTTTCAATGCTTGGCTTCTTAAAAACCTACAACAAAAGATACTTACATGTGAGACAGTGAGACATGCTAGAGCAGTTTTCATTGTGTATTATGTATTGTGTTTGTGTGGCAGGGGTAGTGGGTAGGATTGTGTGTATGATCAAAACAGGGAAAGTATAAAGAGACATCCAAGAGTCATGTTCAACCTGAAATAGATTCTGTCTTAACCATCTCATGTAGAACTACGAACATTTAACCCATCAAAAGAATATCTTACAGCAATGGAACAGAGATCATATCACTATACAAGTAATTTACAGATAGCCTCTTGTAGAAAAATAGCATATTATATACTAGCACTAATACTTAAAATAGAAAAAATATGGTATTATATGTAAATTAAATTCATTATATGAATACAATATTTTCTTTTAGGGACCTGCCATTATAAAATTAACTAATAGACCAAAAAAAGCTACAGAAATAAGTGTGTCATGAGATATCTAAAGTAGTGCATGCACATCAAAAATAGACCATTGTTAGAAAAAGGCACCTAAAATCTATGGCTTGGGGGAAAAATACTTCCAATCAAAAACCAGTATAGCTCATTAATATAGTATCTTTGTATGAGGTTCTTTTCACAAGTATTTTTTCTCTTTTTACTCTCCCTGTTCCATTCCAAATTTTTCTGTATCATCGTGAGTGATTAAGAAACTGATGCTTGAAAAGCATGTAAACAATGCTCTAAGTAGGTAATTTTAGAATGAAAGCTGTGGTTGAGCCATATTTGTCCAATATCATAAATTAGAAGAGAGATATTTTCTAAAAGAGTCACAGTTGTCTTAAATCAAGGCCAAAATTATTTCACCCTTAGGATTTCAACCACTGATTATTTTTTTTCTCAATTCAGCAGAAAAACAAAGGATATGAATAAGCAATTCCAAAGTGGATGATAAACATATGAAAGACATTCAATTTTACCACTAATCTAAGAAATATAAATGCATAATAACAGGAAATTAACTTAGAGATGTTTATTAAAATGAGAATGGTGACTATCAGCATATTTTGAGTTATTTTAAATTTATTTTTGGAATTCAACATACTGACTTTTTTCAATCCATATCATTTCTAGAAAATATAAAGTTGTTTTAAAAACTGCCTCCTTAGTTATTTGCAGATAAATTATGGAGATTGGATCAGGCTTCCCTGGTGGCGCAGATAGTAAAGAATCTGCCCATAGTGCAGGTGACCCAGGTTTGATCCCTGGGTGGGGAAGATCCCCTGGAGAAGGGAATGGCTACCTACTCCAGTATTCTTGCCTGGAGAATTCCATGGACAGAAGACCCTGGCATGCTACAGTCCATGGGGTCGCAAAAGAGTCGGACATGACTGAGCACCTAAGACTTTAACTAACTTTATGGAGAATGGATCAGAAAACAGAATTCAAAAACAGAACCAAATGATTTAGTTAATACCGTAAAGGTAGCACTTCAAATAAGTGTGAGACAGAAAGATTATCAAATAAGTGATACTCAGAAAATTAACTAGCTAATAAAAATACATTAAAAAGTCTGAATCCCAAATTCATTGCTCACTTCAAAATACTAATTCTTGTTGGCACAAAATTTAACATGTATATTAAACCATTAAAGTACTATAAAATATAAGTTCCTTCATTAACAAAATATGTCCATCATTTTAAGGGAAAATAATAATTTGTAGAACAATATTTACAGCATAGATTCATTGATTTAAATCATTGTTTCCATAGTATATATTTTAATTAAAATTGTAAAAATGAAAGGATATGCACCCAGTAAGTTTTATTCAGCATTATACCATCATCCTCTACCACATGTGCCTGGCACACAGCAGGCACAAAAATATAATAGTTGAATGACTAAATAAATGAACTGATGCATTGTTGGTGTAATTGCAAATTGTGATAATTTTTTCTGGAGAAAAGTTTGGCACTATGTATCAAAGAGTAAAATGAGCAGGCAGTGTATTTCAGGACTCTCATTTCTAGGAATTTATCATATGGCTAATTTTTACAAGTGCATAGAGTAGGTATATGGGATAACTATTTTGTAACAGGAAAAATATGTGCGCTAGTAGAGAGGTAGTATGAGAAGTAGCTGCCGTACAATAGGAATCTGGCTAAATTAAGGGAAATATTTCCATGGAATATGCATCTATTTTAAAATGAGATGTTCAACCATTTACTGTGAAAGCATAGCCACAATTAATTGATAAATGAGCAGATTACAAAACACAATATGGTATCACATAGATAAAACAGCATATGTAAACAGGCATGCGTGTGTATTTACAAAGAAAATTCTGGAAGGAAATGCATCAAAATTCTAACTGGTTATCACTTGATTAAGACTGTGTTTGTATCATCATTGAAATTTTCTATGCTGTGTTTTTCCTTACAATGCTAACATACTTTGACAATCAGGAATAAATAATAAAAGTAAATTCATTTACAAAATAGAAATAAAAGTGTTTCCTAATTTTTAAAAAATATGACTAAATAACTAAGCACAAAATTCTGTAATAAAAAGGAAAGATAAGGGTTAATCTAACTTTAATCCTTTTCCTCATTTGAAATGAATAATTCATCATATTTTATATATTTTAATTTGTTACTTGTAGTCTATGAGCAAGTTTAGAAAAATGAATGTGATTAATTAGGTTATTTTCTACATTAGTATTCCAAATCACCTCTGTGGATTTTTCTGTTTCCATGGAACTAACAGATATCTTCCAATTAAAAGACTACATCTTGCGAATTTTTATTCAAATATAGATAGGTAATTCTTGTCATTCATAAAAATGGGCTAAATATGTTCCTTACCTTTTAATGAAAAGTAAACACTGGTCTTTTTGGTTGTAACAAGGGAGTCGTTCTGTTGCAGAAAAGAATCCTGTAAATAAAAATAACAGATACCTGTTTTTAAACTTCATTTTGCAAAAGTTTATTTATTACTGGACCTGTAAATCATACTTCAGTATGGCTAGAATTTTACAGTGTTAGACGGAAACTGGTGGCAGATGACATTGTAAAGTATACCCTGACAGAGGATGCAGTTTCATCAGCACAGATTCCCCCCACCCATCCTGTTATTCGTGAAATTAAAAGCTGCTGCACGAAAGTATAGCACAAACCATCTGCTTTTAAATAATACTACTTAACATTTGAATGCCCGTTTATCCCTTTTATCTACAAGGTTGTTACAAGCATCGAGAAGGACTACGTGGCAAATCACCAGCAAGGATGGGGTCTATTATATGTCAGCTTAAAAAGAGAATACAGTAAAAATGGTGTAACTGACTCACAGCAAACCTTGTAGATGGATATAAACCAAGCTTGCCAAACATCACAGACAGTACTTATTAAAGCTGTTACGTGGAATTCAATATGCCTGCTTTCTAGCCCCTCCCCCCTTCGCCAATAAACGACTACCCCCTTTTCCCCAGTGTAAAAAATACATGCTCATAAAACATTCAGATAAAAGAAAGAGAATTTTTTAAAAATCCATAATCATACTACCCAATGATGCCATTTGGAGCATTTTCTTCCAATTTTTTAAAAACAGCTTTTTGTCACGAGGCCCCTGACAAACCAAACGGGAATTAAGGATGCGCGGATGGGAGGATACTCCTCTTCCCTTGTTAGGAACCATGACTAGTATTTTTACCTCATATCTAAGCTTTTTTTTTTTTTAATTATAAATGTATAAAGATAGAATTTTAAGGGGGAAAAAAAAAAGTCTTCCAGTGGTGTGTGCCTCAGCAACCAAGGAACGTCTGGAAAGGAGGGCAGAGCCTGGAGGGGGCGGTGTGCTTGCGCACTTATTGGGTTGAGGCATTGTCAATCAAGGTCAATCAAGTTTGTCCAGCAAATGAGGTGCGAGGTAAAGGCACACTGGAAACTAACTGAACGGGAGGTCTGACTGCGAGGGGAGGGGGCACAAGATGTAAGCAGTGAAGAGATCTCGGGCTCACGCAATGCGACATTCAGCTGCGTCACGCCTCAGTCCGCCGCAGCTGCAGCTCAGAGAGGCTTTGCCTCCGCCTCTTTCGCCCAGGCCTCCGCTGCCGCTGCCACCTCCGGTGCAATCACCTCGGCCCAGCCGCGCCCCGCCCAGCGCTCCTGCTGCCTTCACCGCTGCCACCTCCTCAGCCCCGGCTTCCGCCGCCACCATCCAAGCATCCGTGAGTCATTTTCTACCCATCTCTGGGCACGCGGTAGTGACCACCCTAAGAGGTTTGCAGGCTTGCAGAATGGCAGAAGCGGATCCTAACAGGGTCTCGGAGCCTGCCGCCCAGGGGGTGGATGAAGAGGTGGTAGCTATCTTGTCTAGCGATTCTGGGGACGAATCTGACAGCAGCAGCTCTAGCAGCAGCAGCAGTTGCAGCAGCAGCAGCAGTGGCCGCAGCCCCTTCTATAGAAGTATAAGTGTACCTGGGCCTTCCAGAAGTGTGCGGCGGACTCGTCAGGTAGAAGTTTCGTGGATCGGCTGCCTCGTGCAGTTAGAAATCGTGTGCAGGCTCTCAGAAATATTCAAGACGAATGTGACAAGGTAGATGTCCTGTTTTTAAAGGCAGTTCATGATCTTGAACGAAAATATGCCGAACTCAATAGGCCTCTGTACAACCGGCGATTTGAAATCATCAATGCAGAATATGAGCCCACGGAAGAAGAATGTGAATGGAATTCGGAGGATGAGGTGTTCAGCAGCGATGAAGAGATACAGAAAGACTCTAGTGAGATGCCTGCTTTAGAGGATGAGGAAGAAGAGGATGATCTGGAAGCAAAATCTGAGGTCAAGGCTGAGGAAAATGTAACACCAATAGAAAATCCAAAAGCAAAGACTGAAGAAAAAGCAGAGTCCAAAGATGCTCTGGAGGCCAAGCCTGAAGTAAAAGAAGATCCAAAAGAAGCCCCCCAGGCAAAGGCAGAAGATAAAGGGCAGACTAAAGCAGCAGAGGCTAAGACCAGGACTCCAGGAAAAGAGGCTCCAAAAAGAGTTCCTGAGGTCACGCCTGAAGAAAGAGCTCTTAAAAGAGCTCGCAAAGGAAAGCCTAAAAGAGAAGATCCTAAAGGCATTCCCGACTATTGGCTGACTGTGTTCAAGAATGTTGACAAGCTGGGGCCCATGATTCAGAAGTATGATGAGCCCATTCTTAAGTTCCTTTCTGATGTTAGCCTGAAGTTTTCAAAACCCGGCAGGCCTGTAAGTTACACATTTGAATTTTGCTTTCTACCCAATCCATACTTCAAGAATGAGGTGCTGACCAAGACATACATAATAAAGTCAAAGCCAGATCGCAATGATCCCTTCTTCTCTTGGGGCTGGGAAATCCAAGATTGCAAAGGCTGTAAGATAGATTGGAGAAGAGGAAAGGATGTCACAGTGACAACCACCCAGAGTCACACAGCTGCTACTGGACAAGTTGAAACCCAGCCAAGAGTGGTTCCTAATGCATCATTCTTCAACTTCTTTAGCCCTCCTGAGATTCCTACTGTTGGAAAGCTTGAACCACGAGAAGATGCTATCCTTGATGAAGATTTTGAAATTGGTCAAACTTTACATGATAACGTCATCCTGAAATCAATCTATTACTATACAGGAGAAGTCAACGGTACTTATAATTTCGGTAAAGATTATGGAAACAGGAAATAACAAAAATATAAAAGAGGCTGCATGAAAGAATTTTCAGGAATCTCAAATTTCAAGCAGAAGTAAAGCAGGTTTATATAGCTTTGCAAAAACCTGCCCTGTAATCTCAACACTAGTATTCCTCATAGTCGAGTTTTTGTACCTTCTTGGTGGCCTAAAATATTGTCTTAAATTGTCTTAAGTATCAGTTTATTCTATCTAGCCTGTTGCTGTGTAATATTCATCAAAATGTGTAAATTGCTGTCAGTTATCTAAAGCATGTTTTTTGGTGCTACAAAGTTTTAATTTTTGTGAAATTTTTTGTGTTTCTATTACAATATAGCTGTGAAAACTGTCAGAATTGTTAACCAAGACGATATTTTCTTGAAATAAAACAAAGTTCCTGAAGTATCAATGCAAGTGTATTTTTTTCTCAGCCCAACAGACTAAGGGTTTAAATCTGCTTTGTACTAGCTGTGCCTTCATTTGTTATAGAAATACACTATTATACTAACTTGAACAGCACATTGTGAAATTTGACTGCTTGAAAAAAGATTAGCATACATTTAATGATGTCCATCAAACCATGTATGATATGACGGAGCATGTTAATGTGACATAGTGATTTATAAATTTAAGCACAATGAAGTTACTGTTTATTACTGAGGTGTTAACATAGTATTTTTAAAAAATCTGCTCATCTTATCCTGTGTAACTGTGAACTAAAGGTACTAACCACATTTTCTTTATAATATGTTCTACTTTGCCTTTCACTGGAAATGATCACTTTATATCATTTTTTTCATGTTCCATTGCAACCTAAAATAAATGTCAAATAAAGTGTATCGTGCTATAAAAATCTACCATATTTGCTTCATTATAAAAACTGTGTTGCGTATTATAGAAAAAGTAGGGAATCCTTAGGAAAGGGATATATTTAAATATATGATTATAATTAACGTTCTGATGCATTTCCTAGATCTTAGGTCTTTTTTGGAGGATGTACATTCAAGTGATTGGAGAAAAATGGGACAGGGGAGGAGGACTAAGACAATGGGGAATGGAAGAGAAGGGGAGGAAGGAATGGGGAGGAGGGTTGAAGTAGAGAAAGTGGGGAGGCAGAGGGAGGGTGAGGAGGGGGTGGAAGGAGAACAGAGTGGAAGAGAGAAGGATGGGAAATGAGAGGGGAGGAGGGTGGGGAGTGGAAAGAATGGGAAGAAGTGGGGATGGGGAAGTGGGGAGATAGGCAGGAGTGCCTCACCCAGAAAGGATATCAATAAAAGTTTTCACTTTCCAGTGTAGGATCTGAAATGACCCAGGCCCATCCTCCACTGTGACTTGGGAGGAGGTCTCCTCCCTTGTGTAGTTTATTTTTCCTTGTAAGTGATATTATGCATGATCCTAAGATTTTGGTTTGAATTTATTTTAAGGAGGAGACCTCTTAAACTCAGTTTACCAGAGTGCTTTGTACTAGGCGCAAAGTCACAAGCACAGCAAATGATACTTTATTTCACATCTGCCTTTTCCCCAATTGCATATATTTTCTTCAAGACCTTACAGGAAAGAGTTGCAGCAGGAGGAAGATAGGATTTGCGAATTTCAGGGTCTCTTGCCATAAAATTACCCAATAGTCTTCCCAGATCCCACCATATATAGTTTAGTATCTTGCATTAATCCCTGCTTAACAGTAGCCCCTCATGTCTATGTGTTTGTTGTGTGCTCAGCCGCTTCAGTTGTGTCCGACTCTTTGTGACCCCATGGAGCATAGCCTACCAGGCTCCTCTGTCCATGGGATTTCCCAGGCAAGAATACTGGAGTGCCCTCCAATCGATCTTCCCAACCCAGGGATTGAACTGGTGTCTCCTGCATTGCAGGCAGATTCTTTACCCCTGAGCCACTGGGAAGCCCCTTCGTGTATATAAATGTAAAAATCTTCCAACCCATGAACTACATATTTAACCAATCATGCATGTTTGGATATTTAGGTTATGATTTATACAAAATCAGGAAGCAAATGATTGCTTTTTGCAATAGCTGAGAGTGCCTGTATTTTAGTTCTGAGATTTTTGCATCCATCGAGAAGTGTGGCAGCAAATTTACTTATAAGCCAGTGCCAAATAGAAGACTGTAGTAAATAGCATGTACCTGGCTCACTATGGGCTACTCAGGTGGTGCAGTGATAAAGAATCTGCCTGTCAACGTAGGAGACTCAAGAGATGTGGGTTTGATCCCTGGTACAGAAAGAGCCTCTGGAGGAGGAAATGGCAACCCACTCCAGTATTCTTGCCTGGAAAATTCCATGGACCTCTAGAGGAGCCTGGTAGTCCATGGGTCCAGAACTACACACACACAACACCTGGGTTACTGCTGCAGAGGTTCTCAAATGGGATAATATACTGTGCTTGCCAGACATCACAAATAGTAGAGCCCTTAAAATTTCTACATGGAATGCAACATCCTTGTTGCAGCTTAGCACATTTACCGAAGTATTTAGCCCCTTCCTGCTGTGTATTTTCCAGTATTAAAGGAACACATGTCATTATGGAACATTTGCAGAATAAAAGGAGATATGCAGATAATAATAATCATTCAGAAGCACACTACAGGAAGATTGGTGTACGGAGATTGGTATATTTTCTCCCAGTTCATCTCTTTGATTAGGTTTTACCAAAAGCTCTTGTCTCAAATCAAGTTGGGTGGGCATAAGAAGCTAATTGGAAAGACAACTTACTGGTCTTTTCAGGTTAAGTCTGGTTGGGGTTGGGGTGGGAAGCGGGCAGGTGTCCTGGATTTTTTAATCAGTATAGCTAGGATTCTGGGAATGCAAAATGTGGGCGTTGGGTGCTTCAACCACCTAGGCTAAGTCAAAGGTAAAAAGAGCCAGGAAAGCCGATGAGCTCGCACGTTCTTTGGCCTGCAGGTTTGTCCATCACACTCGTTAAGCCATGAATGATGCTAGGAAAAAAAAAAAAAGTCGACTGGGAATGCAGTTCACTGGCAGGGGGCAGGGGCGTGAGAAGGGTTTTATGAGGTCTTCCTCAGTGCTTTCTTATAGTGTGCTTTTTCCTTTGGCAGTGATTAAGGATGAGACCAGCCATTTCCTTTCTTCCCCCAGCCCGACCTAAGAGGTCTTCATCTCCTCCGCTGCTGCAGTCGTCCCCGCCTTCTTCTTTGAGAGTTTTTAGCAACCTGAATTTGGCCCTGAGCGTCCAGGTCGGCACCATCAAAGTTTGTTCTTTCCCTTTAACATGGCTAACGTAGATAAGGGAAGGGCTTTCCTAAGCAGCAGCAGGGGCTGCTGAAGAGGTCAGGGAAGAAAGGAGTTAAGAAAGAGACCACACAGGTACTCAAATGATGCAAATGCTCCCATTCTGACTGGGTCTAACAGTACAGGTGTCCTAGACCTCAAAGAGCTTCAGGGGTTAAGTGATAAGATAGAAGCTGAGTTTGAAAAGGAATTGGCCGCTTTGGAAAAAAGGATAAATACTCACTTGATTAGGTGTTCGCTAGGATTGGGACAACCTGCAGTATAGTAACTCCAACACACGTGCATTACTTCAAATTTTATGTTTTGTGTTTTTTTGTGGAGTGTCTTTTAAATTTAAAAATGAAAAATTTAAGTATTGTAACAGACAGCATTTAGAAATACACTTCTTTACAAGAGATGTAGAACACAACACATTCTCTAAAGCCTCTGTGTAGTTTAGTCCTTATGATGCCCTTTTAGAGTGTAACTGGGAAAATTATCAGAACTCCACTGAAGCTAATATTTACTTGAGGGAAAAAATTAACAGAGCCAATTTACATGTGTGATGCCTGCTCCTCAGAGGCACAAAGACTAAATCAACTCAGACCAGGTGTATCTTATTATTGTGCTATAAATTATGAATTATTATGATATAGTACTTTACATATAGTACATTATTATCACTGACTTAAAGTAGCATAGAGTTAAGAATTTCTAATAACACATTAATACCACTTCTAGATTATTTATATTTTTAAGTTTTGCATGACAGAGGTATTTTTAAAGAAAAAATAAACATAATAGAGCTATTATTTCCTTCTGTGTTGCTAGTAAAAGTGTTTGCAAGTGGTTTTCTCATCTTTTGCTCATAAGTTATGTAAACTAAGGGTATTAAGTATATCTTTGCAGTATATTTCACTGAAAGTTATCACTTTATTATTATTTTATTATATCTTTTGATTATAAAATATATTCATTACAGAAAATATGGAAAATATACTTTTCAGTATAAAAATTATTTTAAACAGTCCTATTTTCAAAGATAACCACATTTCACATGAAAATATTTATATCTATCTTTATTAATGTACTACTATCCCTTTAACTTTTCATTTGATGTATTTTGGAACCCTTTCTCTATCAGGGCATGTAAACTTCATTCTGCTTAACATATCATAATGTTTCTTATGGGCATTTAGGTTAGGAGAATCTTTTTTTTTTTCCCAGGAAAATTTTAGCTTTATATAAAGATTGTTAAGATAGCATAGAGTTTACAAATATCCCACACTTAGTTTCATTTGCTATTTAAATCTTATGGTAGTATGGTATGTTTTTCACAATTAATAAAGAGAACATGATACATAACTATTAACTAAATATATATTAATATTTTATTCAGATTGCCTTCATTTTTACCTAATGTCCTTTTATAAGCATATAGAATTTCATTGTATGTATTTGATGCACCAGCTATGTCTTATTTTTCCACAATAGTTTTATTTTGTCTCATCTTTTCATATAAAATTTTATGCCTTGGATATATTGTTGAGTATAGCATAATTCCACTTTGACCATTGGGAGCTCTTTCAGTTGGCTCCTGTGTCACTTTGATAGATCCATCACTGTTTTTTTTTTATCACTTTCTTATTTTCTGGGACTACAAGATGCTCCAGGTTTGCATTTTTTATTTCTGCCCTGGTCCTAAAAACCAACCATTTCAGCAAAGATCATGGTTCCTTTTACTGGAGACAATACTGGAAGCTGGGTATGCTTGTTC